AATACAAAGTTTCAAGGTACCTACAAACTTTAAAATTGTTGTTATGACAATTTTTTCTTAGAAGTTTTAAGAAGAACTTTCTTTTTATCCTTTTCTTGCATTGATTGTTTCATAAAAACATTCTAAAAGAATTGCCGATTTTAACCCTGCTTAACCCGAGCGTAGACCGACCTTTAACTGACCGCCCACCATTTATCTGGCCCATTGTATCTCGACAGGTAGTCAACGAAGATACGTTGGTTTTTTCGGCGAAATTTCGCATTTTGTCTAATATTTATGTAAAAAACACATATAACCGATATTTGATTGTGAGGTATCGTTGGTTTGGTATTGTTTTATTCTTTCGGAAGATACCATAATATACTGGGAATTGATAATAGAAAAACTATGGTCACACCATAATTATGCACACCATAATTCTGCTATGGTCACCCATAACAGAACAACAAAGAAAATTTGATTTTGCCAAAAATGGGGGCTAGTCAAAAAACCTGTTTTTTCGGTTTTCTCGTGGAGTTTTTATTTTTTCGATTTGCCGCTTTGGAACAATGTAGAACAACTCTAGAACAATCTAGAACAACAATAAAAAATTAAAAAATCAAAAAATGGGGGCTAACTTCCCGCACTCTCGTTACACCCAATAACCTTATCGTAGTTGTCAATTTTTGCGATCAAAAAACTCCATCTAACGTTTCCATTGTAATATTTGTCATAGTAATATTTCGTAAACAATTTAGAATATTGTTCGAAGCGATGAACTTAAAATGTATGGTAAAAACCATATATATACTATCTCCTATATCGCTGACTAAGGCAGCAAAAGAGTGTAAACACTAGAGTGCAGATATATATATATCTGTCTCTGTCGTGCCCCCGTCTACTCAAGAGACATGCGTGAACACGTGGTGAGTACGCTTTTATCTTATTGCACGGTGAATTAAAAATTAATAACAGCTGATGACCTTGATGTTTATAAATCAACAAATAAATGTTTGACATAAACATAACCTAAAATCTAAATATTTAGTTATGTATATTATAGGTTTTATGTGTATAATAACATAATTATTAACATATTTTAGGACTAAGCAATTTAAAATGTAATTATTATTTGTTAAGAAAGTGAAGAAAATTTTGTTAAAAGATATTTTTGGGGCCTAAAAATTGGTTGAGCAGCTAGAAGGAACGATCTCAGTGTAATAAAAAAGAATTCAAAGCCCTCCTTTTCTTGAAACAATTTTCTTAAAAATTTAATTAATAATTACATCGATATGATGAAAATTTTATGATAGAATATTATGTACATTAAATAGTAAGTACCCTAAGTACATATTTTATATCTTTAATTAATGTAACAACTTTATTAAAGGGCGTGAACTCACAAATTATGTTAAAAATTAATAACTATATTTTGGTACACATTTTTAATAATTACTATGTATATATGTATTAATTTAATTTTAAAGAATATAATGTTTAATGAACAACCTACATAAAGTTGATATTTAAAGCAATATTCAACGTCAATTTCACACAAAAGTACATATATTCTAATTTATTTGATGCATCTACGATAATTTATAATTAAAGTCAACTATCTACAATAATTGCATTTCAAAGCTGCATAAAATACGCGCGAAACACTTCAAACTCTTTAAAATTTACGATTCGCGCAAGCGCCTTCGCGATATGGGGGCACGACAAAGACAAAACATATATCATTCCGTCTGCTTTTGATGGAAACGCTCGCCACTCATTGCTTAGATAGGGAGTCAGCGATATAGGAGATAGTATATATATG